GTTTGTCAATCCTGCGTACAGGTTCAGTTTCTATTACTACTCCGTTTCGGTCACTGTCTCTAAATAAAATCTTGCACGTCCCACAGTTGCGTGCCTCTTTGTTATCCGTACACAAATTTACACGGGATAACAATGTTTATTTCGAGTTTCATCCTTATTGTTTTCTTGTGAAGGACCGTGTTACCCACCAAACGCTCCTTAGAGGTCCCAGCGAAGGTGGCCTATACTCGCTCAATGTGTCATCTCCAACTGCCCTTCTGTCTGCTAGAACGTCAGCTCAAGTCTGGCATAAACGCCTCGGTCACCCGCATAATCAAGTTCTTCGTCAGGTTCTGTCTAGTTGTCCAGTTAATAATTCTGTAAACTCCTTGAATAAAGTTTGTACTGCATGTCAAATGGGGAAGTCCACTCGCTTTCCCTTGTCGCAAATTAAGCATTCCACCACTTCGGTTCTTGAATTAATCTACACGGATATTTGGGGACCTTCATCGGTCATCACGACTGAAGGTTTTAAATATTTTGTACTGTTTGTAGATGACTATTCAAGATATGTGTGGTATTATCCGATGAAAAATAAAACAGACATTTACTCAATATTTACACATTTTCGTGCCTTAGTCGAAAGATATTTCTCCACTCAAATTAAAAGTATCCAATCTGACCTAGGTGGTGAATACCGAAAACTACACTCGGTGTTCGCTGCTGCAGGTATCTTACACCGACAGTCATGTGCACACACACATGAACAAAATGGCCTAGTTGAACGTAGGCATCATCATATAGTCGAGACTGGTCTGTCTCTATTAGCCCACAGTCATGTTCCACATAAATATTGGCATTTTGCATTCGAATCAGCTGTCTATTTAATCAATCGAATGCCTACCACTGTTCTCCATAATCAAAGTCCGTACTTCTTACTGTTTCATAAGTCTCCGAACTATGCCTTTTTAAAGGTGTTCGGTTGTGAATGCTTTCCGTGCTTGCGTCCTTACAACACACATAAAATGGAGTTCAGGTCTGTGTCATGTGTTTTTCTGGGTTACCCCGATTCGTTTAATGGTTACAGGTGCTTAGACAGAGCAACGGGGCGGGTGTATATTGCCCGTCATGTCAGGTTCAATGAGGATGTATTCCCCTATCAACACATCCCGGAGCTACCGCAACAGTGTGACACTAGTACCAGTCATTTGCCGTGGGCATGTGCCCAGATTGCACAACCTGCGGTTAATAGTGCACCACCGTCCCAGCAGGTACATAGACCACCCGGAGACTCATCAACCAGTGGGGCTCAACCAATACACTATTCGCAGCCTTCGGCGGAAAATGCGACAGATCCCTCTTACCGGCCGACTACATCAACGTCAACTGCACCTCGTACTCGCCGAAAACGCTCCCCTACTCGGAAGCATGTTATGCACCTTCGTGACACAACGAATCAGCAGCGGCGACCTCCCAGAGCCATGATTGCCTCTGTTGACGACGACGAACCGTCATGCCATTCTCAAGCCGTAAGAAGTCCACACTGGCGCAACGCAATGGATGCTGAGTTTAATGCTCTTCTCCACAATAACACGTGGAAATTAGTCCCTTTTCATAATTCAATGAATGTAATAGGTAGCAAATGGGTGTATCGCATAAAACGGAAGTCTGATGGTTCGGTCGACCGGTTTAAAGCCCGCCTGGTCGCCAAAGGGTTCAACCAGGTTCCGGGTATTGACTATTCTGAAACATACAGTCCAGTCGTCAAACCAGCTACGGTTCGGCTTTTATTAGCCTATGCCGTGTCAAATGATTGGGTCATGAAGCAGCTGGATGTCCATAATGCGTTCTTAAACGGACACATTACTGAAGACATTTATATGCGGCAACCACCCGGCTATGCCGATCCAAACTACCCCAATCATGTCTGTAAACTCCAGCGATCATTGTATGGCCTCAAACAGGCACCCCGGGCATGGTTTACAAGGTTGCAAGAGTTCCTGGTGTCAGTTGGGTTCCGGCCCTCAAAGACTGACGTGTCTCTGTTTATTTATGATTCCGGACAAGTCCGTCTTTATATACTGGTGTATGTAGATGACATTCTCTTGTTAGGGAATGACAGCTCACAGGTGAAGTCCATATTGGAGCAACTCGCCGCGACGTTCAGGATTCGCGATCTAGGACAATCACGGTTCTTTCTCGGCATTGAGGCTTTATACACCAGCGGTGCGGTTTTCTTATCCCAACGACGGTATATGACTGAACTCCTTCGCAAAGCTGGAATGGACTCTTGCAAACCACTCGCTACTCCCATGACCACCACCACGGCAGCGACTGATGGTGATTTGGCGCCATTGGATGATCCGACTCTGTACCGCCAGCTAGTTGGGTCCCTGATGTACCTGCTGATCACGAGGCCAGACTTGTCATTTGCGGTCAACCGGCTGTGTCAGTTCATGCACAGTCCTAAAGAAGACAATTGGGCTGCGCTGAAACGTGTTTTACGTTATGTGAAAGGCACCCTCTCACTTAGTCTTCGGCTTACGCGTGCAGTATCTCCAGTGGTTCATGCCTTTTCAGACTCCGACTGGGCCCGATGCTCGGTGGATAGGAAGTCAACAGCTGGTTATGCAGTGTTTCTTGGGCCTAACTTAATTTCATGGGGCTCGAAGAAACAAAGGACTGTGGCCCGCTCCTCGACCGAGGCCGAGTACAAGGCCCTTGCAGATGTCTCCGCTGAGGTAGTTTGGGTTCAGTCTCTCCTCCGGGATCTTGCCTTGGATTGTCCCACAACTCCGGTACTCTGGTGTGATAATCTCGGCGCAACCTATCTTTGTTCAAATCCGGTGTTTCATGCGAGAACTAAGCACGTCGAGGTAGACTATCACTTTGTTCGGGACAAAGTCGCGTCGGGTGTGCTTAAAGTGAATTTTGTGTCCACTCATGATCAGTTGGCCGACATTCTCACCAAACCGCTTGCGGTGTCTCGGTTCACTGACCTGCGTTTCAAGCTTGGCGTCGTTCCGTGTCCGCCTTCCGCTTGAGGGGGGTGTATTAGGCAGTTAGAATTCATAGCCTAGCTTAGCCTGGTCTTCAGCTTATATAGCTAATATTCTGTTATAGCTTATGTATATAAACCCACGCAGTGTATCTCTCAAAGGGTGTATGAAAATATATTTTTCCCAAGATATCTTCTTCAATCTTTGACACTTAACATATCAAGGATGAAAGAATAAGGATTCCGCCACATCTACTAACCCTGCACGTGGCTCTAGGATGCACTTGCCGAAAAAACCATCACCCTCTTTGATATTTGTAAGAATTACTCCATTTGTCCCATTTTATGTGTCTTTAACGAGGCTTGACTGGAGTTATTGTACTATTAACTCAATTTTTAATAATATTAAGTTAAGTATTAGTATATATATACAAAATTTATATATATTTAGAAACTATATACTAAAAGTACTATTAAATACACACACACAAAATCAAATTTAAAAATAAGTAAAAATAATAAAGAAAATAAACAAATAAGATATGGTTGGTTTGATCAATGAATAGTAAGTATGACAGATAAAATGGGACATGTGAAGTAATATAATAAAAGTGTTCAATTGAATAATGAAACGTTTAAAGTTAAACATTATGAAGCAATTTCAAGAGTAGAATATATGTATCAAGACTCGTTAGAAATTGATTGAGTAACTGCATTCCATTTAGCAAATAATGCGTGGTCGGATATATATATATATATATATATATATATATATATATAGTGAGAGAAGAATATGTGCATCGAAATTTACATATTTTCTTACAAGTACTTGCAATTTACTATTTTTTTCTAGACTCCCTCTTTTCTTATTGCAAATTTTAATTTCATATTTAAGTATAAACATTGATTTAACTATTAGAACATAATTTAATATAGGGTAGCTCAAAATTCATTTAGTATTTTTATGGTATGATGTAGGTTTGAAATTGATCAAAGAAAAAGGTAGGTGCATTTATGTGAGGTTAGTTTGTGATCTTTAATTTGTATGCTTTAAACAATACCACACAACAAATCTATAGTGTCAAAATATTGTAGACAAGTAATACTATACATAGCTAGCATATGCATATTTAAGTAATACATATATAAAGTATATACAAAATTACAAACAATTTACACAACATATATGTAAATAACATAGCATGTATACCATATTTTGCATATTCCTTTTGATTCACGTAAATTATAAAGAGATATCATACAAACCTTACTAACATCTGATTCTTTGTTTGCCTTAGGTTCGTGGTTTACTGTGCCATCAGCCTGTATCTCATTCCTATTTGATGCTTAATGAAATTTTCATCTTTTCCTTTCAAAAAAAAAAAAAATATATATATATATATATATATATATATATATATATATATATATATATATATATATATATCCTAAAGGCAATTTATATCATGGACCAGGGTTCACAATGGTTCAATACATAAGATTTGACTTCATAAGGTACAGAATTCATGTTCATAATACATATACATAGTAAACACATATAATGAACATGAATTCTGTGTATTATATTAACAAAATTATCCCAAAAAGTCGTCAATTTAGTGAATCATGACTTTTGTATTTAGAGATTACGAGTTTAATTCTTGTCCGTACTCTGACTACTCTCTTGTTCAAGCCTTTGATCAACATTTTTGACACATATTTTTGAAGGAATCAAAAGAAAAATATAGTCAAAACGGTTGATATCTTTCACAAACTCTCACTCTTCGATGATCGAAAAATAATTTTTTTTTTTTTTTAGTAGTGTGACTTTGAATTTAAAGGTGAGAATTTAAGATTAGGATAAGAATTGAACATTGAATACGTTTCCAAATGTTAGAAATAATATATAGTAATTTCTTTATAAAAACAAAGAAAAAATATATATAATAAAATAAAATATTATGGTAAGTTTATCCATTACGGACAATTATATAAAGCAATCAAACCCCTCCAAAGTCCTAAGTCCTATATAAAGCAATAACCATAGTGGACCTAACATTTTCCTTTTCTCTCACAAACGTATCAACCACTCTCTTCATCGTCTTCCATGGCCGCAAGGAAGAGCTTCCTCTTCTTCGGAGTCCCGGAGAGCATAACTCCGATGACGCCCTCCGGCGCTCCGCAGTTCGAGTTCGAAGAGTCCGACGTTTGGAGCAACAACAGCAGCAGCAGCGTAGTTAACGACGGCGTATCCTCGTCCGACAATACCAGACGGTCGTCCATACCGAGCTCGCGTGCGGCGGCGGCGAAGAAGTCGTCGGCGGCGGCGGTGAAGGCGAGAGGCGTGGATCGTCCGGCGTCATTGCCGGTGAACATACCGGACTGGTCGAAGATCCTGGGAGGCGAGTACAAGGATCGCCGGCGAGAGAGCGACGAGGAGGAGGAGGACGACGGCGACGGCGACGATCGAGTGCCGCCGCACGTTTACCTGGCGAGGACTCGGGTGGCTTCGTTGTCGGTGCACGAAGGTATTGGGAGGACTCTGAAGGGGAGAGATTTGAGTAGAGTTAGAAATGCTATTTGGAAACAAACTGGTTTTGAAGATTAAGTAATTAATTAATTACCAAATTAGGATTAATTAAGGGGATGAAATGATAATGGAGGAGAAGAATAGAAAGAAGATCGCTCTCTACCCAATAATTTTTTTTTTTTTTTTTTTGGTGTGGTTCTGAAATTGATCCTCTGGGTTTGTTAGTCATTTTATTGAGACTTCAAAATCAGAGGATTCGATCATCTTTATCGGATCTATGTAAATGTTACCCAGATTATATTATATTATGTATGGAAATTAGTGTTTTCGTATTTGATCTCATTAATTATTGCGTCTTTATTCAAAGGATTAATCTGCTGTGTAAATGTATGTTACTTAGATTATGTATGAAAATTAGTGTTTTTTTTGGCAACTAGACATACTAATTAATGAGAATAACTTTTGTATGGAAAGATTAATGTAATTTGTTTTCTTGCACATAAACATATATGTATAGCCTTTTATAGGATTTTCATAATATATCTACTTTGAACTTACCAAGTTCTGTGATATGCATAGAATCAACATCAACTATATTTTAGTCGGGGAGATCTGGACCGTTAAACGGACAGAGAAAGATCCGAATCACTTCGTGGTTATAAAAAAAAACAAAAAAAAAAAAAAAAAAAGACAAACCATCAACTATGTTTTGTGGAAGGAAATTGAAGAGTTAAGGGAGGGTTTTGGGAGGGGGTGGGGGGCAGTAGACTTGTTTTGTGTATTTTAGTGGTAGGTAAGAAAGCAACGTAGTAAGCTTAGACAACCCTTTGAAGCAATGGATTTTTTTATGGTTCTATTTTTTTTTTCTTCATGTAATTTCATTTTATAATAATTACAACTATAATTATAATAAATAATAAATAATAAATAATGTGTTTTTTTTTTTTGGTGAGAATAAATAATGTTTATTTAAGTCTTTAGAAAACTTTTTAAAAATTATATTCTAACATTAGGTCCCTATTTAGTTTACCCCACCTTTTCCTTTTTATTAACTCCATTTATTCACTTTTTTCCATCTCCAATTTTTCTTTCGGTTCTCAAAAACGCATGGATCCCACATGAATTAGAACAAAAAAAGACCTTTCCAAAACGCGGAATCACGGATGAACAGTTTTTCACTTTTACGGAATAATTTTTTCTTAGGTTTCTAACTTCCTTTACAAAGTTGAAAATTTTGTAAGAATGTTTTTGGCAAATTATGCCGAGTGTCCACTTTCCAAGGTGGATCCGGGTTATATTCACAATTTTTGAACTCTATATTCACAATATTAGAACTAAATATTCACAATTTTAGATCTCAATACACAAAATTACAGAACTCAATATTCACAATTGCATAACTCTACATACAAAATTTTTTAACTCTATATTCACAATTAAAGAACTCTATATTCACAATTACATAGAGTTGTTTTCAATAATTAAAAAAAAAATCATTAGTTGTGAATATGTAGTTCTAAAATTGTGAATATAAAATTCAAAAATTATAAATATATAACCTGAATTCACCTTGCAAGGTAGACCCCTTTCCGTGGCATAACTATCCAATGTTTTCCATCCTACGTGTTGTCCAAAGACGCTTGGGCCATTCTTTTTTCATTTTAGTGAAAATGTTAAATGTAAAGATTCTTCTATCCACACCCTCGTAGAGTTGTAGAGTAAAACTAATCTGGTTGAGCCTCGATCATATCACATTTGGAACAAATTATACCGCAAAACATTGTGGTCTAGTAACACTAAGTTGCTCTCACATATGAGAGGTTAGTGGAGACGGTATTGACTCTTTGTGCACTGAATGAATAGTACTCAAAAAAAAAAAAAAAAAAAAAAAATACAGCGAGCCATGTGCTGCATTGCAAGATGAATTAATGGTATAATTTCATTTTTAGTATATTATATATTTATTTTAGGAATAAGGTTCAAATTGGCCACTGAACGTAACCTGAAAATGCAATTAGGTCACTGAACGGAAAAAAAAAAAAAAAAAAAAAAAAAAAAAAAAAAAAAAAGTACAATTAGGCCACTGAACACTCCAAATGTATGCAATTTCACCGAATAGCAGGTTACTATCAATTTTAACAGGTTACCTGCTTACGTGGCAGCTGAGGTGGCATTTTTAATAATTTATAAATAATTTTAAATAAATTTTAATAATAGATTTTAAAAAAAATTATTACGAAAAATAAACCCCGTTATTTTTTTAAAAAAAATTTACATTTTAAAAAAAATTATTATTAAAATTTATTAAAAATATTTAAAAATTATTAAAAATGTCAACTCATCTGCCACGTAAGCAAGTAACCTGCTAAAATTGATGGTAACCTGCTATTAGGTGAAATTGCATACATTTGGAGTGTTCAGTGGCCTAATTGCACTTTTTTTCGTTCAGTGGCCTAATTACATTTTTAGGTTACGTTCAGTGACCAATTTGAACCTTATTCCTTTATTTTAAGGTAGTACATTGAAAATAAAATTGCAATATATTAAAAATGGACCTATATCTAATTCATCTTGCAATGTGAATCATGACACACAATATAAAGATCCATTCTCAAAACAGCTCTTTAATGGCGTGTTTGGTTCATGGAATAGGTCGGGAATGGAATACCGTTCCCGGGAATAAACTTATTCCATTGTTTGTTTTGTCATTTTATTCAAGGTAATAGCGTTCCCGGGAATGAGTTATTCCCTTTGCAGGGGGAATAGCCATTCCTAGGGGACCCCCGGTATTAGCTATTCCCAAGTATTTAGGAATAGCTTTAGTACTTATAATACCGAAAATACCCTACCACCGCCACCACTGCCGCCGTCTTCACCACCACCACCACCACCACCACCACAACCACCACCGCCACTGCTACCACCGTCGCCACCGCCACCGCAACCACAACCACCACCACCACCAACACCACCACATATTTTTAAAAGGGTATTTATGTCTTTTGAAAAATATTTCATTCTATTCCCTAAACCAACCAAACACTGTAATATAATTCTTAAAGTCTATTCCTCCCGCGAACAAACAATAGAATAGAATTAATATTCTATTCCTTGCCTATTCCATTCCATTCCTATTATCTCAAAATTCATACTGTGAACCAAACGTGCTGTAAAGGTATTGTTGCATACACATGGAGCTTGAATGTAAATATTTTACTTAAAGATTAGTACAACACTATTATATTGTCAACCTCATTGAAAGCTCATTAAATACAAGTAATCTTCATGGAAAATTGAAGGCAATAAAATAAGTTGAAACAAATGAAGTTGGATATCAAATCGAATTCACATCACTCAAATCTATGGGCCTATGGGAGATGGGTTGGGTATATGTCATGAATCATGGAGACATTTTATCTTTCCAAAAAAAATAATAAAAAAGAGAAATTAAAATGGAAAAAAGTAATGGAGGAAACAATGATGGAGGCATCAATCAATCTTAAATATCTGTCTGAAAATGAGAATGAAGGGAAAATTAGTCTACAGATTTGATGGATTTAACCATTATGCATTATATTATGTTAAAAACATCAGGCGCCGTTTGATTTGGTTTCTTAATTTTATTTGCAAAATATAGTAGAGGGACAAAAGTGGAACTAAATCTAAATTTTAATTTATGCAGAGAGTCCCATGACCAAATATGGAAACCATGAAACTTAGAAATTCAGTAGCTGCAATGTCATATAGATTCAGGAATACACACAATTACCCTAAATGTTGATCATAGTTTAGTATTACACAAAACAGGAAGGCTCATCAGGCATGCACATAAGCACCAACCTCATGGGGAAGCGAGGGACCAGAAATTGAGGAAGAAGGATGGAGATGCAGAGAACCAGCTCAGGAATGCCATAGCTGTTGCTGACATGAATCTTTTGCAGTGATTCATGGCACATTTATCGAGGTCGTTCCCGATAAGGACTGTGATACCAGCAGCAGCACAGGCAGCAGTGAATGTTACAGTGGAGGTGATCTGCACCAGAAACCATTTGGATAATAAGAGAGTTATATTGAGGGAAATGTTCGCACAAAACATGCACGGCTTTCGTGTAACATGGAAGATGAAATTGTCAGTGTACTAAGCAAAGCTAAGTACAACGAAGATTTATTACCCCATCACCGATGGCAAATAGACTAACGACTCCTGTATTTCTAAAACTTCGCTTCACCAACAGTGCATATATGTCAGTAATGGCAAGCGCCAGGCTCCACAAGATTTGTAAGCTGACAGCGGCAACGAGGTAGCTAATGCATCAAAGAGCACAAAAACTATGGTTAGAATCCCTTGTCCATGATAATGAACCATACATACAGCACAAAGTATAGAACACATTAAAAGCTAACTGTATGATGAACCATAAAATAGATGCCATAGTACCAACAAGACCATCCAGCTTACTTAACCAAACATTCCCCAATGACCATAGGATTAGCCAATCGAAATAAAAAAGGATGTCAGATATTATCTTTGCTGAAGAATCAAAATTGGAGTTAGAAACATAGAGGTGATAAAATGAACAAAGAGTAAATATATTCAGAGTAGAATTTCAAATTCTACAAGTTACTTCAATATAGAATAATCCTTCTTCATTTATGGGGAAGTAAACACAGCCAAAAGCAAAAGGAAAGATATTCATGTTTGAAAACAGAAGTAAAGGAAAGAAATTAGTTTCCATCTTTAATTAATATATGCTAATTGCTGGTGCAAGGATAAAAGGACCGTGGTCAATAAAATATTCACTAAAATTACTTCCTCTTCTTTCAATAGAACTGCTTTTGAAAATTATATCATGCGCCCAGGTTGGTGAAACCGTGAAACAACACATGCTCGTTAAGTGATGTTCAACAGAATTGTATAAGTTCATTTCAAGAGAATTTATTATCATAATACAGTAATACAGGGAGTCAAATAGACAATGAACACATAGAATCCCAATAAACAGCTATTGCATAAGTGTGCCTTGTTCTGTAAATTTAGGTGAATCATACACCAACTATCATTGTTTTTGGGGAGAAGCAAAAGTTGAGTTGGATAATTATCAGCTATTCATTGCTTAAGAACAATTCACAGATTTAGAATGTTCCACAAAAAAAAATAAACTTCATAGACTTCACCAAGATTAGCATATCAAGCACTGGTGCATCTGTTCAAATACAAATTGCATAAACCCTCAACTTGAGCTGTCTATATCAACCAAAACATCAAGATAAACTTCCCACCTATTAGGACCCACAAACAATTATGCTATTGACCAACTGGTTTTAGTATATGGGTGCAATAA